GTAGACTTTTTAGTTGTTTTTTGGGGGGCAGCCCTGGTTTCTTTATAAAAACACGTGAATGTTGCATAATTAGAGTCGGACTGGCTTAAATTTCTATTTATGTTTTCACTCTGAGCGTCGTATTTGGTTAATTATATTGGGATTGTATCGATCTAGCTGCTTGTGGTCTTGTAGCAATACAGTTCAATACTTGGACATTTCGTGTTCACAGAGATAAGAAGATCCGCGTTTTAATGTCTTGCGTCTGTAATTTTCTGTGATTTCTTTCGACAGTGAGATTTATAAAGATGCTTCTTTTTCGATTATAAATTTCAGAGTTAGTTTTAAATCTTTAAAATTAGAGTGTTACTATATGTTAAATCATATAGTATAATAACCATCAGAATTTATCTGAAGTATTGCTGATAATACAGGACAGGCAGAGACACCTACTGCCAAGCAAACAGAAGTAAGAATTACGAGAGAAGTATATTCGCGTGGCTGTTACGTTATTACATCGATTATTTGTTCAGTGGATCGTTCGCTTAAATTTACGTAATGCCACGGAGAAGAAGGTCTCGCATTATGTATTAGTTGGCAAATTGGTGCACATGTTACTTAAGCCAATAAGGAAATTTGTGTGCTGTGATCGTAATTAGACGCTCTGCTGGATGGGAGGACTTGGACTAAGGCATTCGTAATGGTAATATGGAAATTAAGAAACGTGGTTAAAGTTGGAAAATCTGTATGTAGGAGATCAGTGCCATTTCATAGCAGGACGAACAGTTTTATGTGAATCCGTAATTTTGTTAGGCGAAAGCGCATTTATGAAGAGTGGTTCCGGATTCCTTTTTCTACAGATTCCATTTTTATCTCTGTTTTACTGTTTTTGATAATACATTTGCCGAGAGTGGTTTTATGGTTTCCTGAATAAAAAAAAATTGCACTGTCATTTCTGATTTTGGAAAACTGGTTATTGTTTATAACTCCGGAAAAATTTGACGTTGAATTATTTCTCGTAACCGTGAGTTTATTTTCCTGCTCCATTTTCCTCAGGCAATTTGGTTGGATTTTATTACGCTGATGACTACTGTGGCTGCTAGAGCTAATTTTGATCAAATTCTTGCTTTTAATGCAGATAGTACTGTACTACTCATTTGTTTTCCTTTAATAAATATTTTAGTATTTATTGTTTTATTTATTAATCTGTAGACCACTTTTATCGATGTTGATTGGTGTCTGATACAACAGCGATTACCGATACTTACCACAGGGTAATTATTCTTTACGTACGTCACTTTTTTCAGATACAGAAATACGTAATTTTATAATAATATTCACCATAATATATGACACGTATAAAATATATTTCGACGATAAAAGCACAAGATCTTTTTCTGTTGTTTGTAGATGGTTATTGTCTACATTTAATCCAAAACCACAAAGAGAAACCTTCTCTACGATAATCCTTCATGCTGTAATGGAACGTGTACTTTGGCATTACGATAAACTGGGGAACAGAGGGATTAATTGAATTAAACGGGAACTCTGGGACTGGGAAATGAGGAGACAGAGGGAATCTGCAAAGGATTTGTGCCCCTATGAAAAGAACGGACAACGATAGTCACATTGTTTTAAGCTATAGCGAAACGTTATGCTGGAAAGATTAGGGCAAGTTTTATAATTATTAATTGTACAGTAACTGATCTTTTGAAACTGTGACAGATGTGGGAGAGCTACCGACATACATTCGTTTTATACGTATCAGAAATCAAAGTGGTGGTTTTTAGTGAGTGAACTTGAAAATCTGAAGCACTAACAGACCTCGGTAATCGAAAAATATAGTTAACTGATTGAACAAGCGAAGAGCAGATCACGTCAAAAAATGTTCCACTACATTTTACGTGTCTGAGTGCGCCATTTGTAGAATCTTAAGTCTGTTGTGCTATTTAGACGTGAGTTTACAAAAAGTTGATACACAAGTGACCAAATTCTTCGTTCTCTGAGTGTGGTTTTTGGGAGCAAAACAATGTTTTAGCGTGGAGTGTACTGGGCTTCGTTTCGCAACCACTGATGTCTTATCCACACTTTAACTTTCATCAACATTCGAACCTGTCGCCATAATATCAGGAACCAATAGGACTCCAGGAAGTCGGAGCATTTGAACACGTTACGTGATTATTAGCGCTGTGACAGACACGTGGACTTCTCAGAGATCACGTCTACGGGCAATGTCAGTTTCGACTCCATGCTGGGAGCGGACGCCCGGGTCGTATGAGAACTCGGCGTCTGACGACGTATTCCTCTCGCGTGATCGACAGATATGAAGTCGTCTTGGCGACTCGACAATTTACGGGCGTAAGATGGCGCGGCTTTCTCTGCTCACGGAGGAAAATGACCCCTGGACTGCATAAAAACTTACGATCAGAACTTCGTAAAAGTGGAATCTGTTCTCCCGTCAAACAAATTTATGCACATTGAATTACCATTTATAAACTCGACGTTACTTTGTGAAGCAACCGAGTAGGTTTATGGAGCGTATTTATTCGTCTTAAGTCAACAGTCGCTCAACTAGCTCAGGAATGTTTTGTCTTTCATTTAAGCTTCATTACGGCGTTCACAATCTCAGCCCTCCTGTTGCGAGCAGGCTCACGTCTTAGCCACTCGATGAATATATTTACGAAAACCAGTTATTGGTGAGATATCTGGCACTGATTTTGCCTGAAAAGTATTTAAACACGAGATTTTATTTCTGATATTGCGATTCGAAATTTATCCTGCATTTGTTAATCGGAAGGACCCGTCCTGGTTCTTAATGAAATTAAAAGAGTTTCTCACCGCGACAGGTGATACTTAATACTGAAGAAATCAACAAACCGTGGTTTCTGGTTACCACCAGCCTTACACAGCCATTCGTAAACGTCGTAGGTTAAATTGTGGTGATCGCGCCGGACGTTTTACACTTTGTAACGTAATAAGATATTTTTTTCCCCCGAAACTACTAGACGGATTTCAACAAAATTTGCTAGATGCAACATAAACCATATTTTACATAAAGCTCAAAATATAATCATGAAGCAGCTGACGTGTGACAACGCTGTAAAATCTGCACCACGTAAGGTCTAGAGTAAATTAATTGAGATATTTTTATATGTTGAATACGTAACAGAATATGACAAATTAGAAAGAACACATTTTCAAGAAACGTGTACTCCAAGCAGGAGTACTCCTTTCCTCTTATTCATCCGGTGGCATTGATTTAAACTCTTAGGGAATTATAAACGCAGTCGGTGTCTCCGTCTTACCGAAATGTGTGAAGACGGTAGGGTCGTTTGGAGCGAGCTCTGTGGCCTTCTGGAACCACTGTTCGGCTTCGATAGCTCGGCTTTTCTGTGGACACAAAGACACTTGACGTCAGAGCAAGTCTTGAAGACACTTCTTATGTTAATTTTGATATTTAAAATTATTAAGACGTGACACCGTAACTCGTATCACAATCGAGGGTTCTCTGACGGAAAAGTTTAGCTTTCAGTTCCGTAATCAACGTAACAACGAAAGAAAATGTCCAGAAATCTTCGAATGTTCCCGTAGGAAGCCGAGTTGAATGACTCGAGATGTTATTTCGGCTATCGAATCTGAGACCTTTAATCAATTTCAAACTTTATTGAAACATAATTTTTTTAAAAAAAATCGTAGGTTTTTACGACGGTGAGTCTGAAGATGGCTGTGTTCTGGGTTGTTGCGCCGTGTAGTTTACGGACGTTTCAGAGGTGCTTGCTGCCTCCATCATGAGTCAAGCTGCTGGCCGAAACCCCGAGTCGGTCTGAACGCGGTGAAGAAAGGAGGGAAATTCCTGCCACTGTCCGGAACCGAACCGCAGGGAGTCACGAGCTATGTTACTGAGTGCCTCCATCGTCAGGGCGATTTTTGAGCCACGGGGAGCGTGAATCCGCCGGTCATAATAAACTCTGTAGGTGGAATAAGGAGCAATGACTTGAACATATGTAAAAGATTTTAAACGGTCATGGTTTAATATTATCTGATTTGCGATTTTTAGGGTAACTCTTTCTAAGGGACCCAACAGAGTTGGTACCTCTCACTTGAAGACGGAGACAGAACCAGCCTCCGAAACGTCGTGAATTTTAAAACATAACAGACGATGGAAAAAGTCCTGAAAACAAATAATTTTAAGTGTAAACTACAGTCGTCAAAACCCTTTAGAATTTAATGGACTGAGAGTGTCTGAGCAGAGGGAGCTGACGGGAATATTTCCGCCCAGACGGAAGGGAGAAATGGGAACTTGAAGAAGACTGCGTAATGAAGAGCTTTTTTAATTTGTACCCATCACAGATCAATATTAGCGCGATCAACGAAAGGAGGATGGAATGAACTGGGGAATGAATGCACGTAAAATTATGGTGGGATGATAATATTAAAATTGATATTACCGGGAATTCATACGTCCTTTGCCCGCAAACACAAAATGCGAACACGTTTCGTACCTGCCCCGTCTAATTAAAGCCACACAGCGAATGGAATTACAAGCATTACCAAGTAAATTTACGATTGAATTCGCACACACAAAGTGAAGAACCACAGGTGGACAGTGGAAGGAGCGACGTTTTCAGAAAGCCTAGTACAACATGCATTACGTGTACCAAACTGCTGTAACAGATTTACCATCAAGCCAAGCTTCGGCCGACGACCTGTGAGAGTAAAGCAGGGTTCGTTCCGATGGAAGTGTACGCCTTCGTCTGTTCAGTCTCTCCTTTCTCATTAAACACATCTCTGAAGGCGTATGGGGGAGTGGCGTGGACGTCCACACATTCTAAACCTCGGGACTAAATTAAGGCGAGAGTTTAACTTCACGCCCCGTCCGATTTATTCCCGGGGGTTTCAGATATACTTCGGATAAGAGGTTGGCCGGACCTCTGAGCCATTTTGGATTCCCTATCCGTTCCCGGGATCAGCCCGCATGCCATCGTGGTCCGCGATACAGGTGTCCCTGCCGAGATTCAAACCGAGGACTTACGTTTCTGGCCAGAATTGTGCCGTACGTGAGGTGTGCCTGAGCGTGGTCCGGCTCGGCCTCCACCGCCGCCTGGTACCACCGTTCTGCTTCCTGGTCGTGGTTCAGCCTCGAGTAAGTGTCCCCCAGAAGCGTGAACACCGTCTGGAAGATGGCAAGCAGCGCGGTCAGTGGGTGCTGGAAGGACAGGTGACAGCTGACGGGGTGCGGGGGGATGCCCTCCTGTGAACGCGGTAACAAGCCTTCGGAGACCACGAAAGGCGAAGAACGTGTTGACCACCGGATCGAACACGGATTTCTCAAGAAGGACCAAACTCCCTGGAGCCAATTTCAGTTTGTAGCTTCCGCTAGGGCGAATGTGAATCGCTTGTGACGAGTGGGCTACTTCAGGGTGCTATTCTAGTATTTTCATAGAGGTTCTGAGGAAAGACACGAAATGTGTTAATCAGGGTAACTGAACCGACTGTCTCAATCTGAATGAGGTTCATAATCTCTTGACTAGGTGCGTTACTGTAAAATAAACAAGGGTATACAGTGTTATACGGTGTTTCACCGTCACTGTCCGCGTCAGAGGAAATTTGCGTTAACTAATTCATTAGTTAATTAATCAGCAGCCTAATACATTTCCAAATTAAAACTAAGCGCCGTATGCTATCAAGTATTAACAGCAGCTGCTGGTTTCAATTAGTCCTTTATAAAACAGGAATGTTTTTAATGCCTCAGTAAACGTACGCCAAATGCTTTATATTGTCCTGGACATAAAAAGTTGCCTCTTTCCGTCCTAACAAATTATCTGAGCCATAGCTTTGTGTTATACGTTACAAATTATTATTTCCATGTACTCCCAAGTTTTTGTTTAGAGACCAGGTACAGTTCGTGTATAGCGAATTGCAACCAGCGTAGTTTTCAATGATTGTGACTGACATTTAATGACGTCATCAGCATCTCAATGACGAATGATGCAACGATCAATGTATTAATAATTGCCAAATTTAATGCTCTGTTCAGCGTATGCCAGAAGGATTTACAACCACAGTGAACCTGATTTAGGATAGTCGGTGTCAGTGGCAGAGATTTGAAGCCGGGACCTCCAGGATACAAAACAGGAGCACTGACCACTGAGGTCCAGAGTGGCTCTCGTAACCCCCCAATTTCCCATAAGGCCCTGGTGTTGAGTAAGGAACAACCAACGGTTGGCGGCGAAAGGCTTCTGAAAAATTTTGTTTCTACTCTTAGTTCACCTGCGACGCGTAATTTTCGGGCATGTTGTCCGCAGCTTCCAGGTACACGTTGAGGGCCATATGG